GCCCCAGCCAATGCCAAGCCTCTCTGTTATCGCAGCCTGTATAAACCACCCCTGACCCAGCAGCTTGCAGTTCACCTTAGGCACAGCATGGGTTATACGCTGAAACACACCAACAGCAGCAGACAAACACAGTAGCGCTGGCTGCTGCGATCCAGAGAGTGCCATCTAAACACAGCTATACCATCGGTTAAGCTACAAGCACTCCTGGACTCTACCTGGCTCAGAACAGTGCCAACTCCCGTCAAGCACAGCTCATTACCTTGTGCTCAGCATCAGCTCCAACATCACTGAATGCAGAACCACCCAAAATATCTCTATACTGCACTGTGCTCTTGATACAGTATCACACAACTGGCTACACTGCTTCCAGAGGCCTATATCCAAATCTATAACCCTTCCCCGAATCATATATCCTGCACATATCCTGCACACACTCAGGCCGTGCAGGAGCCACCTGTCTGGATTGTGTTCTGGGTATTGGTATGCTTTGGGTAACGCCCTAGGTGGCGGAGAACTGACGAAAAATCAAAACCAGAAACCCACTGTTTCCACCTTCCCTAGCAATCAAGCATGTAACGCACTATTAGAAGCCTAGCTCAGCAGATATGATCAAACTTTAGAAGAATCGAGTGCCACCTTGCATTCCCATTAAATGAAATAAAATTACAGGTGTTTTCAGAAACAAAATGGATGACTGTTCTTGACAAAGAGCTCAAGAAGAGATATCTACCCCACTGTCAGAGGGATGCAGAATTCTTACACCTTTCAAATAAGACCTTTAAAGAAGTTATATGAAACCACATATACTAAGAGCTACTATAAAAAAATAATAACAAAGGAATACGTACAACAAACTCATGGTGAACCTTATGAATATACTTGTATATTCTCTTGTGATGCAGCAATCTGTGCAGGAAATAGTGCCAGGCATCCTCAATCACTGCACATCCAAAACACTGGGCAACCAGAACATACCTTTAAAAAGGAGAAGAGCTATCAGTTCTGGAATATACTAGGAGATGCACAGCCTTGAAAGATAAAATTGTTACATGCTAGTAAGGGTGGGAAATGTTTATGTACATTACTGATTGAGTAACAGTGCATTGACACTACCTGTTTAACATATTAAAAACGTTAATTGCCAAGCACATTAGTCCTTGTACCTATCAGCTCATCTGTTGCTGTGCTGAGGTGAATTAGCACACAGTAAAACAGCAATCGTTTCAATATTACAGGCTACAGAGAACACCTGTAGACTGTATAAGACGTAGAAATAAAAACACAGAGCTGCATCAGCTATCTAAACCAGATAGAAAATAAATTTCCAAGAAACATAAGCTTCTGTTGTAAAGAACATCTATCAGAAAAAAAAAAAACAAAACACAAAACAAAACAAAAAAAAACCCTGAAAAGGTATTTATAGCTAACTCGATTTTGTTTAAAAGTCTGTCAGTGCAAAAAAAAGGAGAATGTGAAGCAGGTGGTACATTCTCTCCCTTGAGGAACATGCTGCTGCTATGACATAAAACAGGGTGGAGAGAAGAAACACTTAGGAGGAATCAAAAAATGTTGGATAAAATGACCCCAGAAAGTCCAATATTTAACCCATGCCATCATGAATCTTGCTTCGCTTCCATAAACTCCCCCCTTTTTCCAAGTATCAGAACAATTTGGGGCCATTTAAAAAAAAAAAAAAATCTAGAAAGCTCTAATTAGCTATTATAGCAGTTAAGCATTAACAGAAGCAAGATTAACAAACAAGGTTTACATTGCCAAAAAAATCACTGTGTATTAGAGTTGACGACACTATTTGTTAAATATTCTCCCTTCAACAGTATGGAACTCAGCATAGACATACAATAAAGATCTGCTTACCATCTAGGCATCTCTTCCCACTCATACGGGATGTTAAAGTACTCTGTGAAGTAATAGGTGCCACAAATCAGAGGAAGCTGAATAAAAAAGTGATTGAAGAGGAGTGTTTTGAAACACTTCCACTGTTTTTCCCATGTTTCTGGTTTATCCTAAGAAGAAGGAAGAAGAATCAGTCACGTTACATACTTCTGTTGCACATAACTGAAGTGCTGCAAAAATTACTCTGCAGGCAGTTTCATTTCACCCTGGAAGACAGAGAGCAGGTCCCCCCATAATACAAATTAACTCAGGCAATACAAATTACATGGGAGTGGATTCAGTGTCATCAAAACTTCTTGTTTTCCTAAGCTAGCTTCCTGTAAAGTTTAAAGTAAGTCTCTCTTAACAGAGGTTGTCTTTGTCAGTCGCCCCAAACTGTTCTTGTTATTTCAAGTGTCTGTAATTAGCAGGAACATTTCACATTCAACAGTTTAACACAAATCTAAGTTTGTATTTGCATAGCTAAAATAATACAAAGAGAAGCTGAAGATACAAGCTTGTGAAGAAGCAAGTTGTCTTGAAAATATCCAGTTTTTCAGGGAGACATTTTACCAATTACTGTAATGATTTCAAAAGCTGGTATTAATTTCTAATTCCTATTACAAGGAACTGGGGGAAAACAATCATCTTTAGATACTGGATGTGCCTTTGCTACCAATTAGGAGCGTGCAGTCCATCCTAGACTTTCTCCATTGTTAAAATATGTCAAAAATCCTTTCAAGAGGGTGTGCGTAGAGGCACTTTGAAAGCGACACTTGCTATTAAATAAGCACACCATGTAATTATTTCATAATACTAAGACAAACCTCTGCTTCCAGATGCTGTGATTCTACTATACCTTCCCCTGCTGATATCCAAACTTACATGGAGAAAATTTGACTTTGCTAACGCAGAGACCAACATACCCTCTTATCTCTATACCACCGCGGTGGCAAGGATACCCTCCCTCAGAAATAACCCCTTTCCTTCCCCCAAATCCACTTCTCTTTCTCTCCTCACATACAATGTAAGTTTGCTCTGTCACTTCCAGGATGTCCACAGTGATAAGAGGAAATGGGGTTGTATCCTGGTTTCCAATTTATATGTTCTACTTCACGTATTCAAAGATTAATCAAGGAGTGTGTTGTTCACAGCTTTGTCTTACCTGCTGAATTTTATACTTTTGCATGTATGGTATAAACTGAAAGACAAATCCAGGTACACAGAGCAAGAAGTATGAAACTTCATGAACTATAAGTGATCCCCAAGTTGCAATCTGGAACTTTGTGTAGTTATCCAGCATGTAATTCCAGGCATTTTTAAATGGTTGTTGCAAGGGATTGTCAGGCAAGAAGGAGTCTATATATTCCACCGCCAGATAAGCAGAGTTCAAGATATTAACGCTGTCATTCATTGCCATTGTTCAAACATAAAGCATCACAATTACAGTTCTTCTACAGTTGTCTATATGTATCCTGCAAATTTTGAGAAAAATTGAAAAAAAACAGCAGTTAGTCTTCAGAAAAAAAATCCTTTACTGATCTTAGTCATTATCTAGTTTTAGAGTAAAAACAGGGAAAGGAAAGACAGATTCTACAAAATAGCGTAAAAGAACAAAGCTTAAGATTTGTTTGAGAGGCAAACCAATCTGAGAGACAATCAGCTCTCAAGTTTTGAGATTAGGTTAAGGGAGCAAGAGGATCAAGAAATATTAACTGTTACCCAATTCTATGTCAACTCTTTTGCAGAAAACTGTATTCTGTACTAAAAGAGCACAAAAAGGTTCAAGCCAGATTTAGACGTTAAATTAACCGTGATCTCCTGGTTATCCAGCCTCATTGTTGTCATAGCTGTGAGCCAGAATCCATGCAAATGACATCAACACAGCAGAGGACCTTTAGATGAAAGCTGGCTTGAGGCAATCCACCTTTCCTTAAGTAAGGGAGTTTCATCACAACTCCCAACAGCACAGAGGTAACATTCCCACAGGTGCCCAGCAGGGCAGGGCCATCTTTCACTAGATCAGGTTGTTCAAAACCCCATCCAACCTGACCTTGAACACTTCCAACGATGGGGCATCCACAACTTCTCCAGGCAACCTATTCCAGCGTCTCACCGGCCTCACTGTAGAAAATATCCTCCTTATGTCCTATCTAAACCTACCCTTTTTTAGTTTAAAACCATTGCCCCTTCTCAAGACGGGTCTTGGCAAAAAGTCTTTCTTCATCTTCCTTATAAGCCCCCTTTATATACTGAAAGGCTGCAGCAAGGTGTCCTTGGGGCTTTCTCTTCTCCAGGCTATGCAACCCCAGCTCTCTCAGACTCTCTCTGTAGGCAATGTGCCCTCTGATCATTTTTGTGGCCCTCCTCTGGACCCCCTCCAACAGGTCCATCTTCCACTCTAAAACATGTGCACAAACTCACAGGCCGCGGGACGCTGGCTAGCCCCCCACGGATACCCTCAGACTAGGTCCCACATAGATAACCCACGGAGCTCAGTATCCAAAAACATTCATTACCATTTTCTTCCTTAGCAACTGCATCAAGATGCTACGGATTCTTATGACCAGCAATAGCATCACAGCAGGTACCATTTTATTAATGGCAAACGTGCCACAGCCGATGCCAGGGAAGCTTGCGGCCCGAGCTCCGGGTTGTAAGGCTACTTACCCGCCCCAAAAAGCAGCCGGCTAGCCGAGAGGCCAGTGACCAGGCCGCGCTTGCATCAGGCCCGTCCGGCCCGT